CAACGTTATGCCTGCCCCCGCAATAATATTCACCTATTTAGTTGATGGGGTCAATGTACCTGTTCTAGGGGAAATTGGGGGCCCCTTCTCGAGCTATCAGAATTAGAATAAGCAGCTTTACGGGCTTTTAAATAGAATTTAAGGTGGGCATATGGGGGAAACCCTAGTGTATTAATTTTTGAACGTAATTTTAAATCATAAGAGTACAGGGGAAAAAGAGATGGGGGTACATTACAATATTTTGTAGTACATAGGGGGAAATAAGGACTGTTTACATAAACATTGCACCCCAAAATTGGGGAGAACAGCACTGTTGTTAGGCACTTGAATAGCTGTAACAAAACAACCACACAACCCACAAAAAAACACACAAAAAAAACCCAACACACATACAGACACACACACACATATATATAGACACACACAACACAAAACAGGTTTTACACTTCCCTGTGAATGCCCCATAACCTTCCCTTTTTTCCCCCCCCATCTCTCTCCCTCCCCTTCCCCCTCTCCCTCTTTTCCCCTCTTTCCCCCCTCTCTCTCTCTCTCTCTCCCTCTCTCTCTCTCTCTCTCTTCTTCCTCTTCTCTTTTCCTTCTCTTCTCTCTCCCCCCTTTTTTCTCTCTTCTTTTCTCTCCCCCCTTTCCCTTACCCTCTCTCTCATCCTTTTCCTCACCTCCCTTTCCCTCTTTCTTTTCACTCTTTCTCTCTCTCTCCCTCTTTCCTCTTTTTCTTTACTCCTCTTTTCCTCTTCTCTCCTCTCTTCCCTTTTCACTCCCCCCCTCTCTCTTACCTTTTTTTTCCCTCTCTCACTTTCCCCCCCTTTTTCCCTTTCTTTTCCCCTCTTCTAGGCCCCCCTTTCCCCTTCCCTATCTCTCCTCTTCCCCCTTTTTTCTTTTTCTCTTTCTCTTTTCAAAAAAAAAAATGGTTGGGACTCGCAGGAATCGGGATCAGTACAATGGTACGGTAGGGAGGAATGGATGGGGGAACGGGAAAAGGTAAGCAAGAATGGGGAGAAAATTAGAGAGCTTTCAAAAAAAGGGAGAAAGAGTCTCTGTGAAATGGGAAAAAGGGGTTGGGGAGGAGACAAAGAATTGGGAGTACAAGTCAAAACTGCAGTAGCCAGGGTAAAGGGCCTAGAATTTGAGGAAAACGGGCTGAAAAATTTCCAGGGGTAGTGACCAGAGAAGACACACCATACGTGATGAGAGGTGAACGGGAAGGAAGGGGAATAAATTAGCTAAGGTCATATCAGCCTGCAAAAAAGGGCCGGGAGGGGAAAGGGAAGGCAGATGGGTGCAGATGGAGAGGGAATAGGTCGAATGCTGAGGCACAACCATGCTACAAGAGCCACTGAAAAAATAAGGGAAAAAATGACCACATCAGACGGGAAACCAGGCACAGGGAAGAGGCAAAGGGGGGAGGAAAGGGCAAAATCATGTTATCATGGGCTTCGGGAGAGAGGAAAAGGACACACACTAAAAGACGGCGGGAAGAAAGAAAGGAGATTGAGAAAATCATCACAGAAATGGGGGGAGAAGACAGGGGATGAGATTGAAAATTTTTTTAGAGAACGGGGGGTACTTAAAGGGGAAAAAAACTGACCGATCAAGCTAAACCCTCGGGGGACAGAAACATGCGGAACAGGATCCTCCAAGAAAAACCAGGTTGAAAAGTTGGGAAAAGAGTCAAAAAAGGTTTTCCTAGACAGAGACAGAACAAAAACAGAAAAAAGGGCAGCTGGGGGAAAGAGGAAAAAAAAAGTGAAAGGACTAGGAAAAAAACAAGGAGGGAACCGGGAAAGGGGTCAGTCGGAAGCAGAACAGAGCAGAAAGGGGAAACACACAACAACTATCCTCAAAACCCCCCAAAACCCATAAAACCATCCCAACACCCCTTTCAATCCATACCCACAGCTTCCACCCAACCCCAACTATAGAATCCCACAGTAAGCTACAGGTCTCCCCCCCCCAACAGGCCCCCCAAAACCCAAAACAGTGTTAAAAAGGGAAAACTAAAGGGTATGGTACAAAAATCTGATGGAAAAAAAAACAAGTGGGAGGAGTGGCACAAAGAGTAAAAGAGGCATCCCCAAAACATCATAGCGATCACAAAAAACCAAGCTTACGGGTATTATAACAGATGCCATTTTTTCCAGCAGGATACCAGATCCTGAAAAAGACAGAAGGAAAGGGGGGGGGGAGGAGTGGCATTGCGGATCAAACACCGAGGGGGAAATTTTGATGAGCGGGAAAGGGGAAGAACGGGGGAGAAAAAAGGTGATTACAAGGGGAACGCTTCATTTCTGGTGGTCCAAGGTGATAATTGCAGGGAGAATAACCCCACAAAAAAACAGCAGGGGGGCCCAAGGCAAGATTTAAGAGGGAAGCAAAAAGGCGAGGGTTGACACACTGGCTGCAGTGGGGGAAAAGACTCTGCATGAAAGGGCAAAGCCCCGTTTCATGGGGGGACTTTAACCAAAAGGAGATCGAATGGGAAAAATTGGACCCAAATGGGGGCCAAAAAATACATGGGGGGCAAAGGGATGATGGAGGGGGTTTACGGGGAAAAAACTTCATGTACCAACACTGGGGGGAAAACTACAAGA